TCCTGTCTCAAGGCCCTTGTGGGCTCCTTCTCTGTCCTGCTGATGTCCCAGGCCCACCCCACCTTTTCCCTGGCCCTGCCACGTGCAGGAGGCAGGCCTGTCACTCCTGCTGCCCCCACACCCCAGGGGAGGCTGTGAGTCAGGGTGGCCAATAAGAGCACAACAACCTTGGGCTACAGTAATTGGTGCAGAGTCGGAGACAGCAATCAATCAGAAACCTGAGACCCTACTGCCATGGTCTAGTGAGGGAGCCAGTGGGTCTCACTCTCCCAGGACACCTTCCCTGCCATGCGGAGAAGGCTGTGCATACAGAGGGCCTCCAGCCACAACAGAGACAGACAGGGGTCCAAGAGACAGACAGCCTCTAGAAGTAGCCACCAAGCCCCTGGATGCAGCCTTGCCTGAAGCAGTTAGGCCGTGAAAGATTCTGGTTACTGGAGGAAACTCTTTGGAGCTTTGCATGTCTCTGACTCTATGCTGAGGTTCTAAGCCATTTGCAAGTGCATGTCCCAACATGTGCCTGGGGCACCTGTGCATGTGGTCACGGGCCTTCTGTGCACACACGGCACCTGCAGTGTGGTCCCAGCCATTCCTCAGCGTTGCACGTGAGTGGTTCTGGTGCCCCTGATCTGTCCAGCGCCTGGTGCCTGTCTGCTGCCTTGTGTGAGCTCACGCTGGACCCGCCTCCAGCTGCCACTCAGGGCAGGAGAGATGGAGCCCAATACCCACCCAGCCAGCCCCAGCCTCTCTCCTTTTGCCACCTTCAGTTCAGCCTCCACACTGGCTATAGCTGTGCTCTCATCCTTCCCATCTCGTTTTAATGCCACCTCTTTGAGGAAGCTTCCCCTGACCAGGAAGCCAGGTGACTTCACACCCCTCTCTCTACAGCACAGTGTAGGAATGGTCTGCCCAGGTGCAACAGCAGTGCTCAAAGAGGCTTCACTGCTGCCCCAAGTCCCGGCCATCCAGCCCTCTGGACTCACCTGAGGCCCTGCCCTTACTGCAGTCCGCTTCTGGCATCAGGATAAGGAGCCCCAGCCTCTGGGCCCTTTCAGGCTTGGCTGTGGCCCTGAGCCACAGGGGTGGAGTTTGCTGAGCCTCACCTGTCTGGCTGCATTGATGGAGGGGGCAGGGGTGTGGAGGCAGAGCCAGACACTCAGGGGTGAAACCCAACGCAGTTCGATCAAACTGCCTCCTTCCCACTGAGAAACAAGGGGTAAAACAGATGTGACCCCCAGATCTCCTGTTTGTTCCTGGTTGAGGAGTTGTGAGTCCAGCAAGGGGCCGGCCAAACTCCAGGACCATGAGGACCAGCCTCCCAGCCTAGGCTGGGCGGGCACCACAGAGCCACTGAGCATGGGGGCCTTGCTCGAGGTGGTCCCTCCAGGGGAAGGGGCAACTCTGGTGGCATTAGAGACATCCAGGTGAGTTACCCACCCGGGACGCCAAAGGAGGCAGAGCTCCCCCCAGCGGCGGCTTCTTCCTCCTGGCTGCTGCACATTATTCAAGAAAGAAGCAAATACCAGGCCAAGCAAAGGGTGCTCCTGGCAGGGTCTGCGGGTGAGGGTCGGGATGCAGGAAGCAGCAGGATGGCCCGGAGAGTGGAAGGCCCCAGAAGTCTCTAAGACTGAGTAGCTTCCCTTTCACCCGCAGTCCACTGTCTACACGCCCTGCTCTGCTCTCCCTTCCCTTCTGTCATCTACCATCCTGCCACTGGAACCCAATGTACCATCCACCATCCTCCCCTTCCATCGGCCACAGCCAGTGTCTCCCAGTCCCCAAGGCACAGCATCCATCTCCCCACCAGTCATCCCCTAATGATCAATTCACCTCCATCTCAGAAACCCATCACCCAATCATGAAATCATCCACAAACATCATGCACAATCTATCTGCTATTCATCCAGCTACCTCTCTGCTTCCCACCACCCACAAATCCATCCTCCACTTACTCACCACCCAGCCATTCCAACGTGCATGCTGCAGAGATCCAAGCACCCACTGCAGACCCATCCTTCCAACCCCTATCAATCATCATCATCTTGCCCATAGTCATGCACAATCCATCCACCATGCTCTGTTCATCCACCCAGTTATTTATATCCAAGAACTCCTGTGCTCTCATTCAGCTACCTACTGTCTACCTACTGTCCATTCACATGTCATCTCAAACCCATTCGCCATTATTCACCCACCATCAGTCCATCACTCTACCATTTGGTCTTGTCCACCATCCATCTCCATCCATTCACCATCCCAAATCCCCAGCTTCTCACCCACCATCCACTGCAACAAACTGTCCATACATGTACATCCTCTCAACAGCTACGGTTTCTCTTTCACCCATCAACCATCCACTTACACAACCATGACTCATTTTGCCACCATCCACCCTTTCCACCATTCTCCTTTATTCAGCTACCCTCGACCATCCATCAACCATCCTTTCACAATCACTCTTCTGTCCATCTATCCACCAATAACTAATTCACCATCTGTGATCTACCCTTCATACACTTACCCATCCACCATCCACAATTAACGATCCACTTTTATTTTTTTTAAATCGAGTTTTGCTCTGTCGCCAGGGGCCAGGCTGGAGTGCAGTGGCACAATCTCAGCTCACTGCAACCTCCGCCTCCCGGGTTGAAGCGGTTCTGCCTCAGCCTCCTGAGTAGTTGAGATTACAGGCATGTACCACTATACCCGGGTAATTTTTGTATTTTTAGTAGAGACAGTTTCACCATGTTGCCCATGCTGGTCTTGAACTCCTGACTTCAAGTGATTCTCTCTCTTTGGCCTCCCAAAGTGCTGGGATTACAGGTGTGAGCCACCACACCCAGTCGGCTATCTACTTTCATCTACCATCCATGATTTGTCTATTGATCATCAACCAGCCGTCTACAAAATACTATCTTCTCTCAATCCACCACCCATCATCCACCATTCATAATGCACCACCCATCTGCCATTTACCATACACCATTACCTTCTGTTTATCTACCATCCATCATCCAACATCCATCTATCCACCCATCTACCCATTTATCCATCCATTATCCACTCATCCACCATCCATTCATCCAGCATCCATCTATCCATCCATCCACCCATCACCCATTGATCTATCCATCCACACACCCACCATCCACTCATCCATCATCCAGAGTTCACTCATCTACCATCCATTCATCCATCCACCCATTCACACATCCACCATCCTCCATCCACCCGTCATTCACTTAGCCACCATCCACCATTCATCCATCCACCCATCTATATGTCCATTCACCCGCTCACCACCCACTCATTCCCCAGCCACCATTCATCTATCATCCCTCATCCACTATCTACCATCCACCACCTATCCATCCACCATCCGCTTATCCACAACCTGACATCCATCATCCACCATTCATCCATCCACACATCCATCCATCCATCCATTCAACATCCAGTATATGCTCATCCACCATCCACCATCTATTCATCCATCCATGTCCATTTATTCACCCATTTGCCATCCACTCATTCACTATCCACCATTTATCTATCATCCCTCATCCACTATCTACCATCCACCATCCACTTATCCACAATCCACCATCCATCATTCATCCATCCATTCATCCACCACCCATCCATCAATATTCACATCCACCATTCACCATCTACCATCCACCATTCACCATCCATCCTTCCATCCACCCACCATCCACCGTCTACCATCTACCACTATCCATTCAATATTCACCATCTACTCATCACTGTTCACTTGTCTACTATCTGTTATCCACCAACCACCATCCACCATTTATCATTTATCTATTTACCATCCATTACCCATCAATTTACCATCCATCATCCACACATTGTCCACTATCCACCATTTATCCATCTACAAGTCACCATTTATGCAAACATCATCCACCATCTATCCATCTACCATCTACCTGTTCACCATCCACCATCCATTCAGCATTCATCACTCACCAAACATCCACCATTTAACACTCACTCTTTTTTTTTTTTTTTTTTTTTTGAGACAGAGTTTCACTCTTGTTGCCCAGGCTGAAGTGCAGTGGCACGATCTCAGCTCACCACATTCTCCACCTTCCAGATTCAACTGATTCTCCTGCCTCAACCTCCCGAGTAGCTGGGATTACAGGCATGTGCCACCACGCCCGGCTAATTTTGTATTTTTAGTAGAGAGGGGGGTTTCTCCATGTTGGTCAGGCTGGTCTTGAACTCCTGACCTCAGGTGATCCACCCACCTCAGCTTTCCAAACTGCTGGGATTACGGGTGTGACTCACCGCGCCCCGCCAACACCCGCTCTTTATGATCTACCAGCAGCCATGTATCCATTTATGCAGCAGTCATTCTCCATCCACCATTCCCTGCTTATCATCCATTCATCTTACACTCACCATCCTCATCCATCCGTCCATCACCCATCCCCCCGTCAACCGTTCACCATTCACCTACACCACGCACCGTTCATCCACCGTCAATGCTACTGTCAATCAGCTGTCCCCAAATCACCATGCATCATTCTCCACCGGCATCCACAGTCCACCCTGGTGTACCATCCACACAGCACGTTCCATCCAGTATCTTCCTTCTATGGTCCAACCACCACCCACAGTCCATGGGAGGAGGGCACTGCGTGGAGAAGCGGGCGTCCGGTCCCAATGGGGGTCAGACTAGGCTGAGCCCCAGCAGCACCCAGGACAGAGAAAGGGGTGAATTCAAAAGTCGGCCCCTCCCGGCAAGACACTCGTTTTACAGGGTAGGTCAGTCCCCACAAGCGCTTCTTCCTTGCTCTTCTTCCTGGGAACCTGAGGTGTTCAGGCCCTGCAGGGGCGGGTAAGGAGATGCTGAGAAGGTGCCTCCCAGGCGCCTGAAGAGTCGGCCCTGGGCGGGTCTGGAGGTAAATGTGTAACGGACCCCTGTGCCCCCACCCGACCTGCCTGGTCACGCGGGCCCAGTGGGGCAAAGTCTCCTGGTCGGGCAGGGAGCAGAGGCGAGATGGGCGCCCTGGGCCGGGTCCTGCTGTGGCTGCAACTCTGCGGTGAGCTGGGGTCACACCGAGGGGGCCAGGACGGCAGCGGGTCTGTCAGGACCAAGGGCCGGGGTCCTTCCAGGTCTGGAGGGTGAAGATCTTCCGAGGGGTGGGCAGTGAGGGCTTGGGTGGGGGGCGTGAAACTCGGCCTGGCTTCCCTCATCGTGCGCATCCGGGCGCGCGCGGCGAGTGCATCGGCGGTGCGGGAGAGGAGGGGGGTCCAGGAGAAGAGGGAGTCCGGGAGAGGAGGGGGTCCGGGAGAGGAGGGGGTCCGGGAGTGGAGGGGGTGCGGGAGAAGAGGGGGTGCGGGAGAGGAGGGGTCCGGGAGAGGAGGGGGTCCGGGAAAAGAGGGGGTCCGGGAGAGGAGGGGTCCGGAAGAGGAGGGGGTCCGGGAGAGGAGGGGGTCCGGGAAAAGAGGGGGTCCGGGAGAGGAGGGGTCCGGGAGAGGAGGGGGTCCGGGAGAGGAGGGGGTCCGGGAAAAGAGGAGGTCCGGGAGAGGAGGGGTCCGGGAGAAGAGGAGGTCCGGGAGAGGAGGGGGTCCAGGAGAAGAGAGGTCCTGGAGAGGAGGGGGTCCGGGAGAAGAGGGGGTCCGGGAGAGGAGGGGATACGGGAGAGGAGGCTGTCCGAGAGAAGAGGAGGTCCGGGAGAGGAGGGAGTCCAGAAGAAAAGGCGGTCCTGGAGAGGAGGGGTCCGGGAGAAGAGGGGGTCCGGGAGAGGAAGGGGGTCCGGGAGCCTCCGCCAGCCTCAGCCTCCAGAGGCTCCTGCCCTCGTGGCTTTTCCGTCTGCGCAATGGGCGCGGTCCCCAGACCCTGCGGGGAGCAGCAAGTGTGCGTGTGGGAGTCTGCGGGGCTGGGCAGCCTGCCTCAGTTTCCCGGTCCCCGAGGGAGCACTGAGCCCTTACCCCGCCCTTAACACCAGGCAGGCTCGTGTCCCTGGCGCCCACTTCCAACGCCGGAAAAAATTCAGTCCATTCCCTGTCCCTCTTCCCTGGGCCCCTCGGGGCTCCGTCAGGACAACCCCATCCACCCCGTTCATGGCCGGCCTCACCTGGTCCTGCCGCCCCCAGCCCCTTCTTACTTCTCATGCCCAGAGGGGCTTTCCGTCGCAGCTCTTCCCGGCCCAGGTAGGACTCCTCCAGGAAGCCTTCCTGATTCCAAGGCCGAGGAAGAGGTCTGCGCTGCCCCAACCTCCTCCATGCCCCGGGGTTCACTGTCCTGAACAACTCCGTCCTCTGCTCCAGCGCCAGGCAAACGCGGGGCAGAGCGGGGAGGCGATCTAGGCAGGCGTCCTGTAGGGCACAGCTGAGCTGGCTCTGCAGATAGAATAGAAGTCCGTCGCAGAGTGCCCGGGCCGGGCGCCCACAGTCTGGCCTGACGCCGGGAGGGACCAGGGCCTGGGTCTGGGCCGCGGGGGATGGAGTTTCTAGGCGTCCGGACAGGGTGACCCGCGCGGACACTCCGCACCTCTCTGGGTGGATGGCTTTCCCTGAGGAGGGGGCGTCCCGGCGAGAACTGCGGGCGCTCAGTCGCCTCCTCCCCAGCACTGACCCAGGCGGCCTCCAAACTCTGGGTCCCCAACACCGACTTCGAGGTCGCAGACAACTGGAACCAGAACCGGACCCCGTGTGAGGGCGGCGCCGTCGAGTTCCCGGCGGACAAGGTGCCTGGGAGCCCCGGCGGGGTCGGTGATGGGCCTGGCCCCTCCGCCCGGGTGGGGCCGCTCCTCGCTCGGCTGAACGCAGCTTCTCCCTGCAGATGTTGTCAGTCCTGGTGCGAGAAAGTCACGCAGTCTCAGACCTGGTAAGGCGGGGCTGCGGCTGCCACCGGGCGGGGGCTTCTAAACCGCGGGGTGTCCGCGCTGTGCCTCGAGGGCCGCCCTCACCGGCATGGAGGCGCTGCCGGCCTCCGCCTTTGGCCTCTGGAGAATATTCTCGGAGGCGAGGGGTGGGGGGGATCCAAGGGGAGCTTTGGTCCCATGGTCCCAGCCAGGCTGTGTCCTTGGAGGGGTGGGAGGCGCCCCTGTCCCCAGGGCCCTTCTGGTGCCCAGCCATGGGTGGTCTCGGGAATCTCCCGCTCCATGCTCTTCCCCCAAAAGCCTTGCCATATCTTGGTTCCTAAAGCTCCACCTTTAGACCCCTACTAGGGCAGGGGTCCCCAACCTCTGCCCACCCACTCTCCGGGTCCCTGGCCGGCTTGGAAGCGGCGCCCAGCAGGAGGTGTTCGCCTGCCTCCGCCTCCCTTCAGATCATTTCAGATTCTCCTAGAGTCCCCTATTGTCACTGCGCCTGCGAGGGACCTGGGTGGGTGCGCACTCCTTATGAGAATCCAATGGACAGTCCTTGGAAGAACTGTCTCCTACAAAACTGAACCCTGGTGCCAAAAAGTTTGGGGACTGCTGCCCTAGGGGAGCTTTTTCTCCAACTGCTTCACACAACACTCGGAGAATGATGGGCACTGTGAGCAAATCAGGTTCCAGGAGCAGGTAAGTTTGGGAAACCCTGCAGCTGCACTCACCTGGGGCTTCATCACATATTAAAGGCTCTGATGAGGCCCTAAAGGAAAAGGCGGATTTCCTCATTTAAGGTGGACTTCAGGAGCTACGGGTCAGATGCAGCCCCTATACCTTGAAGCAAGGAATGGATTTTACACTTTGCAACCGTTGTGGAAAAAAGAATAATCTTTTGTGGCACTTGAAAAGTATATGACATTCACACCAAAGTGACCGTAAACACAGCTTCACTGGCACACAGCCTGCTCTCTTGGTTGAGTGTCCTTGGTGGCTGAAGTCTGGTCGCAGCAGCAGGCACCAGCTTCCGGGGTGACTGTGGGGCCCGCAGGCAAAAGCTTCCTCCCAGCACCTTCACAGCCACTCCAGGGCAGGGTTGTGACCTCGGCTTGTCACCTGCACACCTGCCAGCTCAGACACTCCTGAGTGAGCGTCACTGGTGTTGGGTCTGGATGTGGGGTCCAGGCCTGGGGGGGCCCCTGCATGTGCAGGTGGGGGAATGTGCGTTAGGGACCCTGGGCCTCATTTTCACCCCAGGGCTGTTTGGTTCAGTCCTTCGGGTTTTCCAAAGCCACCTTAACCTGAAAGCCACTAGGTGCTGGGCAGGGTTGGGGGGCGGGGTGACACCCCCGCACCGACCGCACCCACCCACCGAACCCACTGCAAGATGGCAATGCTCCCGCCCTGGCAAAGGGAGGAGGGCAGGGAGAGGGGGGCAGCTGTACCTTGCGGCCCCGCCCCCAGAGCCCATTTGGAGCCCACTTGGCAACCATGTAGCCGGAGTGAGGGGACCCACGGGCAGAGGAGTCAGGCTGGGGTGGGGTTTCCAGGGTCTGGATTTCCCCCTACTCCCCTCCTCTGCTGGCCTCCTTACTTTCATGATCTTTGGAAGTGCTTGGGCTCTGAAAGGAGGCAACACTCCATTCATTCATTCACCCATTCAGTCGTTCATCCATTGATCACCCATTGCCCGGTGGGAACAGCGCAAGGGCAGGGGTCCCAGCCTGCAGAGGCAGAATTCACCCAGAGTCACCAGAGCACCCACATCCGCTACACGGGTCGGCTCTGTTCCCTTCCACACCCCTGGCTCCCAGCATGGTCCCTCTGCCTAGATGGTGCTCAAGTAACAGGCCACGCACATCAGTGCTTTACTTTGTAATTTTGATTTTCTGGTTGGGAGCGTCCCTCCCTGCGATTTTCCTTTTCCTTGCCCCTCCTTCCATTTCTCCCCTTTGCCTGCTTTCTTGTTGGTGGGGGGGGTCTCCTGTCTTCCACCCATTCCCCAGCCTTGACTGGAGGCTCTGCAAGTCTGGGCTCACTGTGGACTTGCTGGCAGTGTCCTGTGCTGAACAGAAACCCTCACTGTAACTGCCCTAATGCAAGCCCCCTAACCATAGAACTGTGTTTTTGGTGTTTGGTGTGAGAATCCTCTCTGCTCGTCAGTCACGAGGGTAATCCGCTGTGTACCCACGCGGCACGCGCTCCAGCCTGCTCTGTCTCCCCGCTTAGAATGAGCCTGGCTCCCGGCATCCTCTGCCTTGCCCTTTGGTCCCAGCACTGCCGGAATCCTCCGTGTGCCTGGGTGTTGTGGGTCTCAGCCCTGTCTTCAAGTCCACAGGCCGCACTGCCCACCCCACACTGTCCACACTGGCTCTGCAGGATGGCTTCATACCCATTGGCGCCCCTTCACTCCTGCTCCAATGTTCTTTGTGGGTCTGATTATCGCAGATAAATTGTAGGATAGGTTTGCCAGGTACCAACTACTGCCACCACCATGTCAGAAACCCTGGATTTTTTTTTTTTTTTTTTTTTTTTTAACACAGTCTCGCTCTGTCGTCCAGGCTGGAGTGCAGTGGCATGATCTCGGCTCACTGCAACCTCCACGTTCTGGGTTCAACCAATTCTCCTGCCTCAGCCTCCCAAGTAGCTGGGATGATAGGAATTTAGACTGGGAGAAATAATAAATAACTGCCTTATGCTGTGAAGCCATCCATTGAAGAGCATGGACGGCCTCTCCAAGTATTTCAGATCATCTCTGTTCTCCTTCGAGTCTTAAAATGTTCCCTGTAGAGGTCTTGTATTAGTTAATTCATCAATACTTTGTAAGTTTGGTTTTTTGAGACAGGGTCTCACTCTGTTGCCCAGGCACCAGCATGGCTCACTGCAGCCTTGACCTCCCTGGGCTCAAACAATCCTCCCACCTCAGCCTCCTGAGTACCTGGGACTACAGGCTTGCACCACCACACCCGGCTAATTTTTGTATTTTTTGTAGAGATGGGGTCTCACCATGTTGGTCAGGCTGGTCTGAAACTCCTGGGCTCAAGTGATATGCCCACCTTGGCCTCCCAAAGTGTTGGGATTACAGGTGTGAGCCCAGCCTTAGGTTTGGTTTCCATTATGAATGGTGCCCTATGTTTAAAAATTATATTCTTTTTATTTTTACATTTTTTTCTAGAGATGGAGTCTCACTATATTCCTCTCCAGGCTGGTCTCAAGCTCCTGACCTTACCTATTGTGCTCATCTGTTCAGTTATGATTTTCACATTTGTATTTTTCCTTTCCTTCTTTTAAAAAACGTGTTCTTGGCCATGCTTCCTCCTGGGAACCCCTCCCTGTTCCTGAGGTGCCTTGTACTGTGACACATTCTGACCCCTTGGCTCCGCCTCTGCACCCGTGGGTGGAGTTGGCTTGCTGGCAGTGCCACACCCTCAGGTGTGCCCGGAACGCCGCTTTGGATGTCGGCCTCTTGATCAGGTGCAGGGTTCCTGGAAAAGCCGAAGAGTGGGCCCTGGCCCGGGTGGGGGGTGAGGTTGGAGGGGCACGCCCTGCTGGGCTGAGCCCCTCATAACCTGGCACCAAGGGTTGCCCTGGCCCAGCGCTCACCCTCAGCTCCTCAAGCAAGAAGAGGGCAAGAGGCTGAGGTCCTGGCACTGGGAGGAGAGGAAGAGTGGAGGGGCGGGTGGTCAGACCCCCATATTTCTGCTGACACCCCAGGCCTGGGCTGTGGCCTCACTTACGTGGTGAGGGAGCTGCATGCCGAGACCAGGCCTAGGAAACAGCAGGGGCATCTCCACCGCCCGCGGCGCCCCCTGCCTCCTCCTGCACCCCGGTGGCAGCCCCTCCCTCCCTCCCTTCTTCCCTCCCTGCCTCCCTCACACACCCAGAGCTCGGCCTCAGACTCCCCAGGGGCCGGACAACGTTTGAAACTAGTTCCTGGAACCCGGGAGCCCTTGGCCTGTGCAAGTTCTCAGGGGGGATGGGGGAGGAGACAGGCCCTGGCAAGAGTCATCCCTGCCCGACTCCCCACGGCTCCGTCCTGATCACAGGCTCGGGCTGTTCCCGGCCTGTGTGACTTCCAGCTCAGGGACAGGACACTGGACTGTGCCCGCTCGGGGCCTTGCACACGCGGCTCCATGTTTCCCAGGCCAGATTCTCCTCTTCTCCTCTGCCAGACTCAGCCAGGCCGAGGACCCCGGCCCTGAGGTCCCCCGGATCCCCTCCGCGGACTAGGTCTGGCTTCTCGTCCCAGGACATTGGGGGCGGGGTGGGCGCGGAACAGGCCGGGTCTCCGGCGTGGCACCGCCTCAGCCCGTGCCTCTTGCAGCTCCTGCCGCTGGATGGGGAACTCGTCCTGGCTTCAGGAGCCGGATTCGGCCTCTCGAACGCGGACTCGCACTGGGACTGTGGCGCCGGTGAGGCGGTCGGGCAATGGCGGGGCTCTGGGAGGGGCGACCGGGGGAGGAACGGCTAGGGGGCGTGGCCGGGGGCGGGGCGAAGGCGTGCCCGGGGCGGGGCTTGGGGAGCGGCGGGAGTGTCCCGAAGGGGAGCTTGGGAGCTCGTGCTCAGGGGCGTGGCGCAGCGCGGGGCTTGCTCGGTGGAGCTCAGGGGTGTGCTCCACTCAGGCGACCCTGCGGTCTTCCGCGACCCTGACCGCTTCTCCTGGTATGACCCGCACCTGTGGCGCTCCGGGGACGAGGCACCTGGCCTCTTCTCCGTGGACGCCGAGCGCGTGCCCTGCCGCCACGACGACGTCGTCTTTCCGTCCAGTGCCTCCTTCCGCGTGGGGTTCGGCGCTGGCGCTAGCCCCGTGCGAGTCCGAAGCGTCTCTGCTCTGGGCCGGGTGAGTACGGCCGGGAGGGAGGCTCGGGTCCCCTCTCCCCGCCCCTCCCGGTCTGCACACGTGGGTGAAATGAGCACTCAGGTGATGTCTCCTCGGGCCGGCTCCGGTGCGGACCTGGCTTCCCGCAGACGTTCACGAGCGACCAGGACCTGGCTGCTTTCCTGGCGTCCCGCTCGGGCCGCCTTTGCTTCCACGGGCCGGGCGTGCTGAGCGTGGGCCCCGAGGACTGCGCCGACCCGTCGGGATGCATCTGTGGCAACGCGGAGGTGAGCGCGGCCGCAGTGGAGTCTCGGGGCCGCGCGAGGGTCGGGACTATGCCCGGGACCCTCCATGGCCTCTTGCCCTCTCGCCTCTCGGACGCCTCGCCCTTCTCGCGGCGCTCCGCCCTGGCCCTCCGCGCCGACCACCGCCCCTCGCCCCAGGCGCAGCCGTGGATCTGCGCGGCCCTGCTCCAGCCCCTGGGCGGCCGCTGCCCCCAGGCCGCCTGCCACGGCGCCCTCCGGCCCCAGGGCCAGTGCTGCGACCTCTGCGGTGAGCGTCCCGCCCCGGCCCTGTTTGCTGGGACGGCCTGGAGGACCAGGCTCGACCCCCGCCAGTTTCCTGCGGGGTCCGGATCCACGGCGCTGACTCCTGCCCTCCCGCCCCGCACAGGAGCCATCGTATTGCTGACCCACGGCCCCGCATTTGACCTGGAGCGGTACCGGGCACGGGTACTCGGCACCTTCCTGGGCCTGGTAATGGGGCCGCACGGGCAGCTGAGGGGCGTCCCCAGCCCTACCGCTTCGGCCAGGACTCCCCTTCTGCAGGGGCCCCTGCGGCCGCCCACCTGCCCCCATCCGCCTCTGCCCTCAGTGTCCCCATAGGCTCGGGGGGCTGAGTCAAGCCAACCTCGTCACCCTCCCCAGCCTCAGTACCAGGGGCTGCAGGTGGCCGTGTCCAAGGTGCCACGCTCGCCCCGGCTCCGCGGGGCGGACACGGAAATCCAGGTGGTGCTGGCAGAAATGGGGCCCGAGATGGGCGGCGCGGGGCGGCTGGCCCGGGCCCTCCTGGCGGACGTCGCCGAGCACGGTAACCTCGCCCGCCGCGTCCCGCCGCTGCCCGCCGCGCCTCGCCGCGGGGGAGACTGAGCCGGCCCCTCCGTCGCAGGCGAGGCCCTCGGCGTCCTGGCGGTGACCATGCGGGAGTCCGGCGCGCACGTCGGTGTCGGCTCCGCGGCTGGACTGGTGGGCGGCGTGGCGGCCTCACTGCTGCTGGCGCTGCTGGTGCTGCTGGTGGCGCTGCCGCTGCTGCGCCGCGCGGGGAGGCTCAGGTACGCGGGGCGGGGATGGGGTCCGGCTGGGGCTGGGGGCTGCCCCGAGGGGCTCACGCGGCGTCCCCGCTACGCCCTCAGGTGGAGGAGGCGCGAGGAGGCCGTCCCGGCCGGGGCGCCCCTGGGCTTCCACAACCCGGTGTTCGACGTGGCGGCTTCCAAGGAGCTGGTGAGGGGACGGGCAGGGGGACCGGGGGGCAGGGAGACTCGGCCCCCGACGCCTCTTGACCCTGTCACCCCGCAGCCCTGGCCGCAGCCGCTCAGCGGGGCTCCGAAGGCGGCCACAGGCAGCACCAGCCACAGTTACTTCGTCAACCCTCTGTTCGCCGGGGCTGAGGCTGAGGCCTGAGCGGCTGCGTGACCATCGACCTGGGGGCTCCCCACCCCCTCTGGCCCCAGAACCTCCCCAATCCCTGTCGACCTGAGGGCTACCCCTCATCTAACCCCCAGACCTCCCTACTCCGCCCCCCGCAGGGGCCATAGACAGGGAGCCCTTGTACAATAAAAGTGTTTCCTGTACCATCTGGGGCGGCCAGAGGCGGGGGTCTGTGAAGTTGAACCCAGAACTAAGAGGGAGGCTTTTCCCCCGCTTCTGGTGTGGGTGGTGAAACGCTGGAGGACAGAGGGTTGGGAGAGAGGCAAGGGGCGGAGCGAGCCAAAGGCAGTGTCTGAAGGGGGCAGAAAAGGGGGAGGAAAAGCACTCCTGGCACCAACCTGCTGGGACTGGGAGGGGCCTGGCCCCCAGGTGGACACAGATGGCCTTGGGGCCCTGCTGCATAGCTACCTCACGGCCAGACTTTGGCAGTCCCTGCAAGGCAAGGTCATGCTCTCCCTTTCAGGGTGGCTCTGACCTGGTGGGGTCGGTGCCAGCACTGAGCAGCAGGGGTTAGGACCCAGCTGGCCCTTCCCTGCATCACACTGCAAAAGCAGATCACGGGATCATATGTGTGCAAGTGTGCACCCCGGCACTCAGACAAGAGTGCACCCCGGCACTCAGACAAGCGTGCACCACTGCACTCAGACAAGTGTGTACCCCTGTACTCAGATAAGCGTGCACCCCTGCACTCAGACAAGCATGCACCCCTGCACTCAGGTGTGCACCCCTGCACTCACAGACAAGCGTGCACCCCTGCACTCAGACAAGTGTGTATCCCTGCACTCACAGACAAGCAAGCGTGCACCCCTGCACTCAGACAAGCGTGCACCCCTGCAATCACAGACAAGCGTGCACCCCTGCACTCAGACAAGCAAGCATGCACCCCTGCACTCACACAGACAAGCAAGTGTGCACCCCTGCACTCACAGACAAGCAAGCGTGGACCTCTGCACTCAGACAAGCGTGCACCCCTACACTCACAAGCATGCACCCCTGCACTCAGACAAGCAAGCGTGCACCCCTACACTCACAGACAAGCATGCACCCTGCACTCAGACAAGCCTGCACCCCTGCACTCAGACAAGCAAGTGTGCACCCCTGCACTCACAGACAAGCGTGCACCCCTGCACTCAGACAAGCAAGCGTGCACCCCTACACTCACACTCAAGTGTGCACTCCTGCACTCAGACAAGCAAGCATGCACCCCTGCACTCAGACAAGCAAGAGTTCACCCCTACACTCAAGCGTGCACCCCTGCACTCACAGACTAGTGTGCACCCCTACACTCACAGGCAAGCATGCACCCCTGCACTCGCACAACCGGCAAGCGTGTATTCCTGCACTGACAGACAAGCGTGCACCCCTACACTCACAGGCAAGCGTGCACCCCTGCACTCGCACAGACTGGCAAGCATGCATTCCTACACTGACAGACAAGCGTGCACCCCTGCACTCAGACAAATATGCACCCCTGTACTCAGACAAGGGCCCGACCCCATGTGTGCAACCTAAACTGTGGAACGGTGACAACTTCTGTGAAACCAGCATCTAGGCTGAAGATGTCTCCAGCAACCCCAGTCATGGCCTGGTCCCCACTCCTCATCTTCTGCTCAGGGGCCCAGCTCAGTTGCCACACCAGGACATGTCCTGTAATCCAAATCAGGGCGCCCTGCTGCAGGGTGTGTCTGTGTTGTGGTTGGAATGTGTCACTCTTGGTGTTGTGCACTGTCCTGTCGAGTGAGCGCCACAGTTGACACCTATGCTCCACCGGCTACCATTAGAGTTTAAAAAGTGGCTGATACCCCCACAAGCACAATACAGGCACATTTTGAGTGTCAGGTGCAAATTGGGGAGCAAACCTGAGCTGACCTGGCATCACATGCTGCCTGCTGCTCAGCTCACTCATAGATGAGACTGTGCCAGGAGAGACCCGCCCCTGGTGTGGGTTGTGGGAGATGCCCTGAGGGACCCGCTCCTGGTGTGGAAGGAGATTCTCAGTGAACCCGCCTCTGGTGTGGAAGGGGATTTGGGGACCTGCCCCCGGTGTGGGCTGTGGGAGGAGATGCTCTGGGGACCGGCCCCTGGTGTGGAAGGAGATTCTCTGGGGGACCCGCCCCTGGTGTGGGCTGTGAGGAGATGCTCTGGGGGACCCGCCCCTGGTGTGGGCTGTGAGATGCTCTGGGGGACCCGCCCCTGGTGTGGGCTGTGAGGAGATGCTCTGGGGGACCCGCCCCTGGTGTGGAAGGAGATTCTCGGTGAACCCGCCTCTGGTGTGGAAGGGGATTTGGGGACCTGTCCCTGGTGTGGGCTGTGAGAGGAGATGCCCTGGGGACCGGCCCCTGGTGTGGAAGGAGATTCTCTGGGGGACGTACCCCTGGTTTGGAAGGAGATTCTCTGGGGGACCCGCCCCTGGTGTGGGCTGTGAGATGCTCTGGGGGACCCGCCCCTGGTGTGGGCTGTGAGGAGATGCTCTGGGGGACCCGCCCCTGGTGTGGGCTGTGAGATGCTCTGGGGGAGCCACCTCTGGTGTGGGATGAGGAGATGCTCTGGAGGACCCGCCCCTGGTGTGGGATGAGGAGATGCTCTGGGGGACCCGCCCCTGGTGTGGGCTGTGAGATGCTCTGGGGAACCCGCCCCTGGTGTGGGCTGTGAGGAGATGCCCTGGGGCACCCGCCTCTGGTGTGGAAGGAGATTGGGGGACCCGCCCCTGGTGCGGGCTGTGAGGTGATGCTCTGGGGGACCCGCCCCTGGTGTGGGTTGTGAGGAGATGCCCTGGGGGACCCGCCTCTGGTGTGGAAGGAGATTGGGGGACCCGCCCCTGGTGCGGGCTGTGAGGTGATGCTCTGGGGGACCCGCCCCTGGTGTGGGTTGTGAGGAGATGCCCTGGGGGACCCGCCTCTGGTGTGGAAGGAGATTCTCAGTGAACCGGCCTCTGGTGTGGAAGGAGATTGGGGGACCCGCCCCTGGTGCGGGCTGTGAGGTGATGCTCTGGGGGACCCGCCCCTGGTGTGGGTTGTGAGGAGATGCCCTGGGGGACCCGCCTCTGGTGTGGAAGGAGATTGGGGGACCCGCCCCTGGTGCGGGCTGTGAGGTGATGCTCTGGGGGACCCGCCCCTGGTGTGGGTTGTGAGGAGATGCCCTGGGGGACCCGCCTCTGGTGTGGAAGGAGATTCTCAGTGAACCCGCCTCTGGTGTGGAAGGAGATTGGGGGACCCGCCCCTGGTGCGGGCTGTGAGGTGATGCTCTGGGGGACCCACCCCTGGTGTGGGTTGTGAGGAGATGCCCTGGGGGACCCGCCTCTGGTTTGGAAGGAGATTCTCAGTGAACCCGCCTCTGGTGTGGAAGGGGATTTGGGGACCTGTCCCTGGTGTGGGCTGTGGGAGGAGATGCTCTGGGGGACCCACCCCTGGTGTGGGCTGTGAGATGCTCTGGGGGACCCGCTCCTGGTGTGGAAGGAGATTCGCTGGTGGACACGCCCGTGGTGTGGGCTGTGAGATGTTTTGGGGGACCCGCCCCTGGTGTGGGCTGTGAGGAGATGCTCTGGGGGACCCGCCCCTGGTGTGGAAGGAGATTCGCTGGTGGACACGCCCATGGTGTGGGCTGTGAGATGTTTTGGGGGACCCGCCCCTGGTGTGGGCTGTGAGGAGATGCTCTGGGGGACCCGCTCCTGGTGTGGAAGGAGATTCGCTGGTGGACACGCCCATGGTGTGGGCTGTGAGATGTTTTGGGGGACCCGCCCCTGGTGTGGGCTGTGAGGAGATGCCCTGGGGGACCCGCCCCTGGTGTGGGCTGTGAGGAGATGCTCTGGGGGACCCGCCCCTGGTGTGGAAGGAGATTCGCTGGTGGACACGCCCATGGTGTGGGCTGTGAGATGTTTTGGGGGACCCGCCCCTGGTGTGGGCTGTGAGGAGATGCTCTGGGGGACCCGCCCCTGGTGTGGGATGAGGAGATGCTCTGGGGGACCCGCCTCTGGTGTGGAAGGAGATTCTCAGTGAACCCGCCTCTGGTGTGAAAGGAGATTTGGGGACCTGCCCCCGGTGTGGGCTGTGGGAGGAGATGCTCTGGGGACCGACCCCTCGTGTGGAAGGAGATTCTCTGGGGGACGTACCCCTGGTTTGGAAGGAGATTCTCTGGGGGACCCGCCCCTGGTGTGGGCTGTGAGGAGATGCCCTGGGGGACCCGCCCCTGGTGTGGGCTGTGAGATGCTCTGGGGGATCCGCCTCTGGTGTGGGCTGTGAGGAGATGCTCTGGGGACCTGCCCCTGGTGTGGAAGGAGATTGGGGGACCCGCCCCTGGTGTGAGCTGTGAGGAGATGCTCTGAGGGACCCGTCCCTGGTGTGGAAGGAGATTGGGGGACCTGCCCCTGGTGTGGGATGAGGAGATGTTCTGGGGGACCAGCCCCTGGTGTGAGCTGTGAGGAGATGCTCTGGGGACCCGCCTCTGGTGTGGGCTGTGAGGAGATGCCCTGGGGGACCCGCCCCTGGTATGGGCTGAGGAGATGCTCTGGGGGACCCACCCCTGTTGTGGGCTGTGAGGAGATGCCCTGTGGGACCCGCTCCTGGTGTGGAAGGAGATTCTCAGTGAACCCGCCTCTGGAGTGGAAAGAGATTTGGGGACCTGCCCCTGGTGTGGGCTGTAAGGATATGCTCTGGGGACCCGCCCCTGGTGTGGAAGGAGATTCACTGGGGGACGTACCCCTGGCTTGGAAGGAGATTCTCTGGGGGACCCGCCCCTGGTGTGGGCTGTGAAGAGATTCTCGGGGGGACCCGCCCCTAGTGTGGGATGAGGAGATGCTCTGGGGGACCCGTCCCTGGTGTGAGCTGTGAGGAGATGCTCTGGGGGACCCACCCCTGTTGTGGGATGAGGAGATGTTCTGGGGGACCCGCCTCTTGTGTGGGCTGTGAGGAGATGTCCTTGGGGACCCGTCCCTGGTGTGGGCTGTGAGGAGACGTTCTGGGGGATTGTCAGTGAACCCCCCTCTGGTGTGGAAGGAGATTTGGGGACCTGCCCCTTGTGTGGGCTGTGGGAGGAGATGCTCTGGGGACCTGCCCCTGGTGTGGGCTGTGAGGAGATGCCCTGGGGGACCCGCCCCTGGTGTGGGCTGTGAGGAGATGCCCTGGGGGACCCGCCCCTGGTGTGGGCTGTGAGATGCTCTGGGGAACCCACCCCTGTTGTGGGCTTTGAGGAGATGCCCTGTGGGACCCGCTCCTGGTGTGGAAGGAGATTCGCTGGTGGACACGCCCCTGGTGTGGGCTGTGAGATGTTTTGGGGGACCCCCCTCTGGTGTGGGCTGTGCAGAGATGCTTTGGGGGACCCGCCTCTGGTGTGGTAGGAGATTGTGGGACCCGCCCCTGGTGTGGGCTGTGAGATGCTCTGGGGGACCTGCCTCTGGTGTGGGCTGTGAGGAGATGCCCCGGGGGACCCGCCCCTGGTGTGGGCTGAGGAGATGCTCTGGGGGACCCGCCCCTGGTGTGGAAGGAGATTGGGGGACCCACCCCTGTTGTGGGCTGTGAGGAGATGCCCTGTGGGACCCGCTCCTGGTGTGGAAGGAGATTCTTTGGTGGACACGCCTCTGATGTGGGCTGTGAGATGTTTTGGGGGACCCCCTTCTGTTGTGGGCTGTGAGGAGATGCTCTGGGGGACCTGCCCCTGGTGTGGGCTATGAGGAGATGCTCTGGGGGACCCACCCCTGGTGTGGGTTGTGAGATGCTCTGGGGGACCTGCCTCTGGTGTGGGCTGTGAGGAGATGCCCTGGGGTACCCGCCCCTGGTGTGGAAGGAGATTGGGGGACCCACCCGTTGTGGGCTGTGAGATGCCCTGTGGGACCCGCCCCTGGTGTGGAAGGAGATTGGGGGACCCACCCGTTGTGGGCTGTGAGATGCCCTGTGGGACCCGCTCCTTGTGTGGAAGGAGATTCTCTGGTGGACACGCCTCTGATGTGGGTTGTGAGATGTTTTGGGGGACCCCCTTCTGGTGTGGGCTGTGAGGAGATGCTCTGGGGGACCCACCCCTGGTGTGGGCTGTGAGGAGATGCCCTGGGGGACCCATCCCTGGTGTGGGCTGAGGAGATGCTGTAGGGGACCCGCCCCTGGTGTGGAAGGAGATTGGGGGACCCATCCCTGTTGTGGGCTGTGAGGATATGCCCTGTGGGACCAGCTCCTGGTATGGGCTGAGATGTTTTGGGGGACCCCCCTCTGGTGTGGGCTGTGAGGAGATGCTCTGGGGGACCCGCTCCTTGTGTGGAAGGAGATTCTCGGTGAACCCGCCTCTGGTGTGGAAGATTTGGGGACCTGCCCCCGGTGTGGGCTGTGGGAGGAGATGCTCTGGGGACCCGCCCCTGGTGTGGAAGGAGATTCACTGGGGGACGTACCCCTGGTTTGGAAGGAGATTCTCTGGGGGACCTGCCCCTGGTGTGGGCTGTGTGGAGATGCTCTGGGGGACCTGCCCCTGGTGTGGGCTGTGTGGAGATGCTCTGGGCTTCCCAGGAGAACTGCTTGTTGTAGCAGCTGCCTACGTGGTCCTGCCTGGCCCAGAGCTGCTGGGTGTTGGGTGCCCCCGCTGGGTGCTGGTCAGTGGCAAATACAAGGGAACTTCTCATATAACAACTTGGGAAAGTAACCCCGAGCATCCCCTTAACCAGGAATACTCACCCTGGCCCAGGCCTTTCTTCGAGCTGCTGCCTCTTCCCTGGGCCTGTGGCCTGCCCCATCCTGTCCCTTGGGGCTGCTGCAGGGTTACCCTCTATGGTTGTGGACAGCCTCCTGGGGCCCTGGCACTGCCTGGCTCGGGCTCAAAGGCTCACTGCCCTCCTTCCACCCTGCAGTGCCGCCCCAAGGATGCCCCCCGCTCAGGTTCAACACTTCCTCAGCAGCATTCCGTGACCTCCGAGTTACCCAGAATAGCTTCCACTGGCAAGGTGGCTCCTTCACTGCCTGTTGGAGCTCAGGCACTTCTGGGACCCAGACAGACACACACAGGTGACACGTTATCACATCCAGACGGACTGCTGGGAACTTTAAAACTGCCGTCTTCTGCTTTATTGACAGGTAAATTGTTCAAAAATGTTCTCACGATTCAATAATTACAAAGACTCAGACTTACATTAAAAAAGTAAAAACCAGAACCCCCCTGCAGGTGCCTGTCCAGCAGAAGGCCCAGGAGGGCAGTGGGGTGGGCAGGGCTGGCAGGGCTGGGCCAGTCCGTGCCGACTTGGGGAAGCGCACATCCTGAACAGCCTTGCCAAGCAGCCGACCGGTGGGAGGACAGGGGAGGCCCAGCCCAAGCTGCGGACAAGTTGTGTCTGCCGCAACAGTTAACCACAAGCCTCTGATGACACAGGGCCACAGAGCCAGTCACTCAACATCTGACACAAAGGAGGGTGAGGTGAAACACACGAGAAGGGCATCGCCCCGCTGTAGGCCAGGGCCAGTGTGCAGGAGTGTGTTGGGTGGGTCTACGTGATCATAAGGGTTACTAATCACCAGGGCTCCATGCGGGGGCGGGGGGTGGGGGGCAGGTGGGGTGGGGTGTCCCAGTGGCTGCAGCCTGGCTCCCTGGGGCTCTGGCCTCCTCTCAGCCCAGCAGGCTGCAGCGCCTGCCTGCACCACGACTCTTGCTGGTTTTATGGCAGGAGGCAGAAGCCTTGGAAGCCAGTGGAAAGCGGAGAGCATAGCTGACTTCACAGTAGTAGATACTGGTGACACTTCATGGCTGTAACCCAGAATGAAGCTGACACACACAGGGACACAGGGTGTCACTGGTCCCGGGCCTCTGTCCATGACCAGGTGGTCAGCAGCACTTCTGCAGCTGACTATGCAATGGCTAAATGAATAAAAAGGCCACAAACTAACCTCCACTTTCCTCTGTCTTCAAAATTCTAGTGACACTGGGAATGCTAGACGACCTCTTACTATTCTCCTAAGGTCCTAGGGTTTCAGGAACTAGGGAAAGACTGGGTACTGAGGCTGTGTCCCCAGCTGTTTGCTTCCGAAGCAGCCGTATTATGACGGGTTTCTGCTGAGGAAGTGGCGTTAGCAGGGCCCCACACGCCTTCTCGGGCTGTCAGGGGTGGGAGAGGGACTGTGTGGGGTCCTTCATGTGCAGACGGGACGTGTCGCCTCACAGCTGTGCAGACGAACGGATCTGGTCTACTGCCACGAACAATGCGGCATAAAACTGATCAATATTATAATAAAGATTTGTCTTCATCTCCGTATCTACAAAGTGATTCTACATTTCCTTGGACAACACTGGAGGGCCTGCTCAGTCTTGGCACTGACGCTGGAGGCCATCCCCAGCTCCCTGGGCCCTGTGGCGTGCTGGTGGCTTCAGGCGTCACAGGCCGGCTGCTCCAGGCCTTCCAGGGGGAGCTGACTCCTGTGGGGGGAGTTAGGGCTTGGTGGACCGCTGGGGTTGGAGCTGTTCGATGGAGTTGAGTGTTTGGTGGAGTCCGAATCCGGCTGTGAACAGGAAGAGGGCAGGGTGAGCACCTGCTGCCCTAGCCTGGGGAGGCAGCGCCCAGGTGGACACGAATGTCTGTCCAGGAACAGCTGTGGCAACTGCTCTTCCCTTTTCATGTCATGAGAACACACAAGCTTCTACACCAGCAATTCCTGGGGGCCTTCAGCTTGCTGGTGAGAGTCACAAATCGATGTCTCACCCCACTCAAAAATAACACAGGAATTACTACGAAAGACAGCAACTCTGTAGTGAAGAAACTAGATGAGGCGGGGCGCAGTGGCTCCCACCTGTAACCCCAGCACTTTGGGAGGCCAAGGTGGGTGGATGGCACTCGAGGTCAGGAGTTCAGGACCAGCCTGGCCAACATGGTGAAACCCCGTCTCTACTAAAAATACAAAAATGAGCCGGGCTCAGTGGTGCACACCTGTAACCAAGCAGTCCGCATTCACAAACATGACACTCTTTCCCGAGAAAAGCACTAGGAATAGAAGGGAACTCCCCAAATGATGAAACAGCTCACAGTACTCGGTGGTGAGAGGCACAGTTTCCCCCAAGATCAGCAACAAGACAAAGCTGCCTGCTTTCACCACCACTATTCAACATGGCACTAGGAGTAAAAGCCAGAGCAACCAGGGAAGAAAAAGAAAAAAAAGTTAGTTAGAAATAAAGTAAAACCATCCCTGTTTGCAGACAATGTGATTCTACACATAGAAAACCCTAAAGAAAAGAATCCACAAAACCAGCAAATTCAGCAAGTTATAAGGCACAAGTTCCACACACACACATCAGTTCTATTTCTATACACCAGAAAGGCACACAGTGAAAGGGAAACTGAAAAAAAAAAAATTCAATTTACAATAGCATCCAAAATAATAGCTAGGAATAGTTTAACCAGAGGAATAAAAAATGTGTACACTATAATACAAAACGTTGCTGAAAAATGAGCTTAAATAAATGGAAAATATCCCATGTTCATGGAGTAAGTATATTGCTAAGATGGCTGTTCCAGGCTGGGGCGGTGGCTCATGCCTGTAACCCTAGCACTTCAGGAAGCCAAGATGGGTGGATCGTTTGAGGTCAGGAATTCGAGACCAGCCTGGCCAACATGGCAAAACCCTGCCTCTACTAAAACTACAAAAATTAGCTGGGCATGGTGGCAAGTGCCTGTAGTCCCAGCTACTCAGGAGACTGAGGCACCAGAATCGCTTGCAGTGAGCTGAGATCGTACCACTGCATTCCAACCTGGGCGACAGAGCAAGACTATGAATTAAAAAAAAAAAAAAAAGCAAACAGAAAAATACATTATGAGGAATGTAAATGACAACCTGTAGAACAAGAGAAGACATCTGCAAATCACATCTCTCACAAGAGCCTGCTATTCCGAACATGACAGGAGCTCCAACCCATCCACAAAAGACAAACCACCAATTCAAAAATGGGCAAAGGCCCTGAGCGGACATTTCTCTAAAGAAGGTACGAAATGGCCAATAAGCTTAAGAAAAGATACTCTAGTTTTTAGGGAATGCAGTTCAAAACCACAATCGGATACTAATTCACAGCCACTAGGACAACTATTAAAAAGAAAACAACAAAACAAAACAAAACAAAAACAAGTATTGGTGAGGATGTGGAGATACGAGAACCCTCACACACTGCTGGTGGACATGTGACACGGTACAACTGCTGCAGAAAATGGCTTGGTGGCGCCTCGAAGTTAAACACAGAATCACCACATGATCCAGCAGTCCCACTCACAGGCGTAAACCCCAATGTGCAGACAGGCACTGAAACAAGGATGTGCACACGTGTTCCCAGCACCACACACTACGGCCCAAATGGGCATCGGGGAAGAACGGGAAAACAAGGTGGGCTCTATCCATACAAGAGAATATTATTTAGCAACGAAAATGAAACACTGACACGTGCTACAGCGGGGGTGAACCACGGGAACAGTCTGCCAAGTGAAAGCCAGGCACAAAAGGTCAAAACCATTTCTAGGGGGCGGGAGGAAAAAAAAAATTCTGTATGAAAGGCTGGGCACTCCATTTCCACAAAATGTCCGTAACGGGAAATCTCAGAAAACTGGGGGCTGCCCAGGTACTAAGGGGAGGGATCGACGGGGAGAGAATGCTTAAGGGGCAGGAACTTATTTTGAAATAATGAAAATGTCTTTTTTATTTATTCTGTTTTAGAGACAGGATCTCATTACATTGCCCAGACTGGCCTTGAACTCCTCAAGTGATCCTCCCTCCTCAGCTTTGCTAGTAGCTGGTACTACAGGCATGAACCACTGCGCCTAGCCTGGAGTAATGGAGATGTTTCTGAATGAGAAAGAGGTGGTAAGTGTTCTACATGTCACTGAGTGTTCACTTCGGTCATCTGGGCACGGTGTGCTGGCTGCTGCCTGTCATCCAAATCCTCTGCGAGGCCGAGGTGGGAGGACGGCTTGAGCCCAGGAGTTGGGAGACCAGCCTGGGCAACAAAGTGAGGCCCTGCCTCTGTATTACTACTTAAAAAAAAAAAGTTGTTTTGTGACTTTCACTTAAAAGAAGAAACAAGGTCATGCAGACGAAACAGGCACTAACTGCCTCAGGACACGGTGCCAAGAGGGATGCCATGTCCTCTGTGTGGTTTGACAGCCCGAGACATGCATGGAACCTCCTGAGCGGGAAACGGCTGACAGACACAAGCTTGGAAGCAAGCTGTAAAGTAACAGCAGTGCTTGCTGAAAAATGTTACTGCCCACCAGACAAAGACAGGCTGAGGGCCTGCTGCAGAGTAAAGGGCGGGGAGTCAGAGGAAGAGACGGCGACCTTGGCAGAGCCAGGAATGTGTGCAGGCACCTGCACATCTGTTTGGCAGCTGATGTTCAAACACCTCAGTGCTGGGGCTGCGATGTGTGCTACAGTGATGGGCCTGGCCCCTCTGCCTCCCTCCCTCCCTCCCTCCAAGGTTGGCGCCAGGGCTCAGCCCTCAGCTCACTTAGCCCACAGCACTGCAGCTCCCTCCCTCGATTGCATTCTCACCCCCATTCTACACAGCGGAAACTGAGGCCAGAGCAGTGCTGCTGAGCTGTGCGCAAGAACGCTGCCAGCCAGAGCAGGGCTTGTCCCCGAGGTGGTCCCTACACTGGCACCTAGCGCCATCCCAGGGGAGGAGCAGAAGAGAGACCAATGTGCCAGGCCAGCCCGGACCAAAGCAACCACTGATGTGTCACACTGTAGTACATAAAACAACACAGGGGAGTCCCAGAGGAAGGAGCAGCCTCTGGAGGAGCTGGTCGGCTGGAAAGCTTCCATTCCCCATGGGGCAGACAGCCCCGCCCCCAGCCAGTGCTCCCAAAGGAGACCCAGGATCTGACCAAGAGATGGCTGCTTGGGCCTCCTGGAGGAAAGGACAGCCACCCCTGCCTCCCTCCCACCCTGTCACCCTCACACTGCACAAAGCAGCCCAAGTGGGGTGCTCCAGAAGGGCGTCACACCACTCAGGCCCCCAGATCTTCGGGCTGCTTCTGCAGTGGCAGCTCACCGCCACACCACTGCACCTGGGCACGTCTCACCTCTTTGTCAAAGTCCTGGTCTGGATCAGACATACTTCTCAGAGGCACAGCCACACCGGGCTCCGATCCACCTACGGAGCAAGGACAGCTTTCCTCTTAGGGAAAAATTCAAGAACGGTATCAAAATTCTAGGGTCTCCCCATTCCCACCTCCCACCTCCCCCAGGGCGGTGGGGGCCACGCTTGCTTCACACCTGACGAGGGCCACGAGATGTAGGGCTTGTTTCTGGACGGAGGCTGGCGGGCCAGGCTGGTGGGCGCGGGGCCTGGCCTTTCCTCCTGGGAGGGGGGCCCGGCACTCTGGACAGAGACAGCAACACATGAGTATGCTTGGGAGACATAAAGAAAGGTCAGCGGTGAAGTCTGTGCCACCTATGGTGGCTGTGGCCCCGACTTTGATGAGCAAAATGGGGGCCAGGAGGGCTCCCTAGAATGGACTAGGGCTCAGGGCAGTCTGGAACTAAGAACTGGCAATAGCAACTTAAGCCAGGTCAGATCCTATAAGAAACATTTATTTTTTTTCTTGAGACTGAGTCTTACTCTGTCCTCTAGTTTGGAGTGCAGTGGTGCAATCTCAGCTCTCTGCAACCTCTGCCTCCTGGGTTCAAGCGTTTCTCCTGCCTCGTCCTCCCAAGTAGTTGGGACTACAGGTGCCCGCCACCATGCCCAGCTAATTTTTGTAATTATTAGTAGAGACGGGGTTTCACCATATAGGCCAGGCTGGTTTCAAACTCCTGACTTCAGGTGATCCACCTGCCTCAGCCTCCCAAAGTGCTGGAATTAAGCCACCAGACAGACCCAGCCTAAAAACATACTTCTTAAATAAAAAAGAGAAAGTATGCTATCTGTTGGTATGAAGGGCTACTTAGAAACCCTCACAGGCTGACATGGTGACAGAGTCCGACAAGCACACCCGCAGCATCATTGCCAGGGCGGCCTGGAGTCTGTGCACAAGGCCTGTGACAGGGACAGTGCTTGTGGACACAGCTTCAGTGAGACAGGCTTGTGTGACAGGTCAGAGCACAGTGCCAGCATTTGCGGGCGGGCCCTACCTTTGGGACGGTCTCAGCCGCCACGGCTGTCTGTTGGGGAGGAGAGGATGGGGTGCCCGCCCCACCACCGCCGTGCACGCACCAGAGGCAGGTCCATGAGCACCTGCATGCCGTCGCCCGGGCCCATGTGAGCCACGTGGTT